GGTATATTTTATTATTAATTATTAAATTATTACCTATATAATTTATAAGTGTTGATAGTCAATACCAACGTACCATAGAATGGTATTAAATGGCTTAAATGTAGTACAAATGTTTTCAAAATTTCACCAGAAAATAATAGTATATTATCTATGTATTTAATGGTGAAAAGTTTAAAAACTCTGAGATTATATTTTTTAATTACAATAAAAATGAGTTGTTTTTCGTTTATATACCCATCTAGTTTGTCAACATTTGAACTTCAAATAGGTGTATAGGTTCCTTTAAAAAAAAATGTGTTAAGTATTTTAATTTTTTTTTTTATTGCTGAAAGTGCAACTTTCTATTGAAGTTTCAATTATCTATAAACAGCTTATGAATTAGAGTAAATTAATTTTTTTAATTATTCCAGCATGCTCAAAAAATGTCAAAAAAAGTTTGTACCATCACTCCTAAAATTGTATAAAAATCTAAGTACTTGAGAATATTGTCCTAAAATAAACAAAAAAAATTCTAAACATCAGAATTTGAATAAAATCATTATTAAAAAGAAAAAGGGGTGATCATACTTGTCACCCTGTATATTGTTTTTTCTATATAAAATATACTGCTTGCTAATCGTACTAACTCAGGGGCGTAGCGTGCATGTAAGCACTGTAAGCACTGCTTACACTTTAAATGAAAGAAAAATAAATTTGATCAATCACGAGTCACGACTAATAGGTACATAATAAATGATTTTTAAAATTTTAATTTTATTTATACAATATTTAAGTTATAGCTGGTAGTGGTATTTGTTATTGTTTATTTGTGTCGTACGCTGTCTACTGATTACCAACTAATTTAAGAAAATCATCGATTGTAGGTCTATTTTTAATCCATTCTGTATTATGTTAATTGCATAATCAGAATACGATGTACATACGTACAGTGTAACACATTCTGAAATTGTTTACGCGCAACTGTTGTTTTCGAATAGTCTATAATGCCATAGTGGGGGCCACGTATTTAACTAGCGTTTGTAAGCACATTTGATTTTGCTTACGCGAGAAACAAGGAGCGTAGCCCGACGTGTTGTAGACTGTAGTCGTTTTTACGTACACTGTCACTGTCATTCGCCTAATAGACTTTTGAAGTATTTATACTTCAATTTCTTTATTTTCTCGAATTTGATTTGTACAACTAGTATATTTTTAAAAATATTAAAAATTTTAAAAGGATAACATTTTTTTATACATAATTTATAATTAGATATTTAGGTATAGTACCTATATTCTAATCACTTTTGAAAAAAAAATTTCACTGCTTACATCTTTTTAATACCCACGCCACGCCACTGTACTAACTTCTAGCCCAATAATGTTAGTAGCAAATGACTTAAATATTTAACGAATGAGATTGTGATTAAGTAAATTATGTTACAAAAGATATAGAGGTCATTAGTGCCGATTAAAACAAATTTAAACTAAAGATTAAAGATAAAAATAAAATGCTTTTAAAACTGCTTAAGTGATTGCGATGATGAATAAAAAATAACTTTGTATGTGTTTCTAGCAAAACCTGATTTCATCTAATTGTTTAATGGTTCATGTTTTAATAATAGCTAAATGTGTTTAATTTATCTGAGTCATACTCATACATAGTAATTATGTTTCAAAATACAATAGTTACTAGAGACTAAAATACTATACAGTATAAACAGACAACTGTAGTCTTTACTATTTACTAAAATTGTTACCAAAATTGGGCACTTTTCATCAAGCATTTTTGTGTTTTGGTTATTTTTGTGGCTTGCCACTCGGATATTTTTATATTAAGTACACAATAAATCATAAATTCATAATAATACATAGGTACATTATTATATTTAATAACCCAGGGCTTGAATTTGAAAAAAAAAATCCGTTTCATGTTATTCACATTATTAAAACGTTATACACGTTTTGCGTTTATCGTTATTTAGAACAGTGTTAATACGTATTAATTAATGTATTAATAATAATTAATAACTAATGCGGGGAGATAAGGGCCTGGATACGGAATATAATATTATAATCAATTTTAATGTCCGTATGAGTGATATAGGTAGATATTTACAGGAAACCACTATAACTTTTAAATTATTTTGTTTTACGTAATTTTTTGTTCAATGAAATTATATAAATTACGTTTTGTTTAATGATATAAAGTATTTTGTTAATCCGACTTAATCGTTATGTTTTGTTTTGTGATATTTAATTATTTATGATTTTTCGTTATAATAAAGTTTACAAATTGGAATCCTTTTTTTGTCAAATATAACGCAAGGGCGCTCATTAGGGGATGCAAGGAGGTGACATGTCACCCCTCTAGACAAATGTGAAATTATTGCAATTTTTTGTAATTTTATTTTAAATAATAAACTATTTTTACTGATGACATTATAATACATGACATATTACATATAGGTACATCGTTTATCTATGCTGTGTTATTATATTTATATTCTGTTATTTAATAAGATAAATTTTGTCGGTTCTTGGTTATTTTTTTATGTTATTTTACCCCCATAGGTACGATTGATGGGGCCTCCTTGTTTGCAAGCCCTAATTGTACCTAACTAATACGACTCGTTCACGTAATAAGTGTTTGAAGAGTGAAGACCTTTACATTTTGTTTTTATCATTCCCAGATTGACCTCGGCTAGGAATTACATTTCTAAAATACGAAATACGTATTCCGAACAAAATCATTAAATTGTCATTTCTTGTTATTATCTCTGTTATTTTATGATGACCGAGCCACAATAAATGCCAACGATAATATTATCATTATTATAATTAATATTAATCTAATTCCTATACTTGATTATTTTAATTATAATTATTATAACACTATGTTAATTACTGCCGTTACGCGCGTGCAAACTCTTTTGCCTATTGCTATATTATACCGATGTGTAGGTACCTACCTATGTATTACCCACCAATATTAATATATTATTACTATATCAGCATAAAGAGCACAAACAGTGGCTTTCCATTGGGCGGCACAACCTGCTGCTGCACAACCGGTAACCGTCGCATTTGAACGGGCTTCGGCGTCGTCGGCAGCGATCGTCAGCGACCGCAGTTCGTGTTCGCACTGCCTCGAGTATCATAGCCGCTCACACTTTCCGTGCAACAGCAGCGGTGGCGTCGATATTCATATTATATTATTATTATTCTCTGGTCGTCGACTCTGTCTGACATAATATTTACACCTACTCAGATAGTCTATCCGTCACTTGCAACAGTCGTACCTGCACAGTCAAGCGTCTCGTCCCGTTCGCGCCTGGTCCGCGGGGCTCGTCAAACCGTTGTAATTTTTCCACGCCGGTAAGCACTGCCCGTTGTAACATTGTATCTCGTAATTTATTATTATAATATTTGTCGCAGCCATTAGCGGTAGCATAGTATTCTTATACTTTGTTTGTATTATGCGTTCGCATGCAATGCCGCCGCGTTGACGAATAATTACGCTCAACCTAACCCTACATACGCTTCACAAACACATTTTGTTCATTGGCGATTTTTCCGAAACGACCCACTTTAAGTTGTATATGCTTACCACTAATTACTACTCGTATTCAAAAAAAAAAAACTTAGAAAATAATAAAAGAAACGTTTGGAGTCAACATTTTCAGTTTTTCGACTAGTCGAGTATCATCTCGGCGGTATAGCTATAGTATTATTTTTATTATATAATATTATGACCGATAAAATATAAATAATAATCATTCATAATTGCTATGTACAATTATAACATTTTAAACTGTAAATATAAATTTAAATAATCATTAAGCTATAATACGGGATACACTATAAATATTACTATGTGATTTGTGTAGGTATTAGGATTTAGGATGTATACTGGTGTATAATATAAGGATGGTACCTACTCGAAAATAATACGAATGAAAATAGAAATGCTTCAGTCCAAGCGCTAATTAATAACTATAATTAAAAAATTATTACGATTTAGAAAATTACAAACAATTTGTTTTGTTCGACCATCAAATAATAAAATGTCCACCTCTAAAACTGTTATTTTGTATTATTCGGTTCAATGCTGTCCGATTTGACACAAATAAATATTACTTATAGGTAGCATAGACAGTATGTGAACAGTACTCGTACAATTCTTTAGTTTAATATACAATATATTGTTGTCATATTTTGTGAACGTTTTTTTTTTCGTGTGGCCAAAAATTCCATTAGTTTAAATAGACCAATCTTAGACTTTTATTTTTTACTATAGTAAAAGTATTTAAAATACTTACTGATCCTTTAAACCGTATAGACTTTTGTGAAGCATATTGAATTATAACATAAAAAATTTATAGCATTTGGAACATAATATTACACCGTGCGTCCGTACGTATTTTGGCCGTCTGACTGGTGACGGCACAACAGCGGTAGATCGCAGTTTATTGTACATATTAATAGATGGCCTATATTATTTATGGCATTCCCTTGAATTCGGTCTTGAAAACTTACACAAAACGAAAACGTAACTAAACGACCAAATATTTTAAGCGAACACTGCGGTGATACCTTTATACATAGCATATATTTTGATAATAAACACCATACAGCTTTTCATGCTTATATTAAAATATAATTCTGATGTTTAAAATTACGAATAATTCCCTCGTAATGCAACACTCAAATGAACTATTTTAACTTGTTTCTAACTAGTTTACATCTTAGGTACCTACCTATAACAATTGCAATTACATCGAAATATTAGGTATGCTGTATACTAAATATCTAATATACTTTAGTAAATTATATATTTTGAGGGTTAATATTGCCGATGATTTAATTATATTATTAATCTTGCGTTTATAGGTGCTGCTTCGAAGATCGTTGTGGGTCGTACGTGGGGTCGGACGCTACCAACTGCTATCTACTGGCACTTCTACTGCTATCACTACTAATATTGCATAGTGTTAAGTGAACTATTTTTTTTTCACATCGAAATGGATCAAAAACCACAACTAGAATCGCGACCGAACGGTGACATCGCGAAAAGCCTAGCCACGATCGGCGTGTCCGACGAGAACGGACATTCCGTTGAAATTAACGTTCCTCAGACGTTTCGGCGTCTGTCCTCGCCTTCTCCGTCGTATCTTGGGTCCACACCTTCGCAGTCGTACCTTGGGTCCACTCCACCGCAGCCTTTCCGCAGACGGTGCGACTCTATGACCAAAACCGAGGATGGAGACCAGAACGAGTCCAAAGTGTTGGTCATCTACACGGGTGGCACCATCGGGATGATCCGGAACGACGATAACAGTAAGTGTATGATATATAGGTATATAAGATAATAATAAGCGAGTAGCGAGAAACACATATTTACAATATTTTTGACGTATTTGAACTTTTTGTAAAGATCGAATATTTTAAGAAAATTAGGTATTGTTATTATGAAATAAAGATTGTAATTTAAGAGTTTGTGGATGGATTGACCAACAAACATGGATCAACACAGAATTAAAAAATAAAGGCAATATAAAATATTGGAATTTAATTTAGGTAGGTAACTTAAAATAAGTAGACAATTTTCGAAATAACCTGAGTGTTTACTATTAAGACCTATACTCACTCTGCAATATACAGTTGGTGTAAAATGAAAATCATAAAACTAATAGATAATATAATATAATATAGGTACTATTATAGTATTTTGATGGTATAGATATTGGTGGGTATACTTACTATTATATGAAATTCGTTGTGCTAGTTCTATAATTCTGGATTTTAGGCAAACTAACTAACCCTTTAAAATTCACTATTTTACTCAGGGGTGGTCAAGTCGCTTCCTTAGTATGACCGCACTCTTGTTTTTCTCTCGGAATTTGAGCATTGCGTAAAGTGTTCAAGTGTAATTCAACGCTATCCGATGATCAAATCATATGGTATTAAAAGGCGCAATGTAGACAAATAAAAACGCACTTTTCAATGTTAAACCATATGTTATACAACTCCGTTTCTGGTTATGAATATTTAATTAATTAAACTAATCGATTGACTTTTTAAAAATTAAACTGGAGCACTCGAGAAACACAAAACTACCTATTGGCGAATACGCTTAGGTTTCGATAGGTAGGTAGTAAAATGTATAATAATTAATATTATAATATTTACCTAACATTTCATATCGGTTTTGGCCAATTTATAGTCTTACCGTTTTTTTTTTTAAGTTCTAATCGTACACACAATATACACTATCGAAGTGCCTACGTTCACAGCGTTCCTTAGTCTTCAAACTTGTTCTGGTAAGCGCGAGCCGCAGAAATTATGCGCACATTGTCCACCGTGAATTGTAGTTAGGCAGTTTAATGATTCGTATCATAATTTATTAATCATTTCGCAGTTGTAAAGACCTTGGACCGCTAATTAAACATACATGATCATCGATAAATGATTTTGGTATGGCTGGTGGCGGCGGCAAACACGTGTTCGTCCACGTGTTCCGTCGTACGCCGACCATTATAATATTATAATTTACAACTAGAAACGATTGCCGATCGCTAAAATTGTTACACAATCGAGTTGTGTAATTAATTATAGTGATTCTCGTTTTCTTAGTTACAGTAGGTATGGTTTATTGTAGCAGGCATACCTATTATAATATTATGGAGGTACTTGTACCGGCAAGGTAGAAACAACAACAAAGTTGTTATAAGAACGCTCTAGATTTGGCCGACGGGTGAGTGGCGATGACCTATTACAAGTGCCTACCGTGTATATAATAATATTATATTATAAGCAATACTGTGGAGAGGCGTAATAACGTAATCGTCGCATAACCCCTAACTGATTGTTGTAGTATACCTAACTTAGTACAGTTATATTATTATTATTTATTTATCAATTATACTGTGCATATTTACCTACCATGATCAGTGGCGCAACTAGAAAAAAATTCGGGGGGGGAGGTACAACCCCTAACCCCATTGGTTAGGACCATGATTTTGTTACCGAAAAAACTATCGTTATCAGGCTGCAGAACGCCGTGAACTTAGCGTGGCGGTGATGACTATAAGGACCAGAAACGCCATCACCGATTAATTAAAAAATAATATGCAGATTAATATCGTTATTATTATTATTTGCTTTTACAATACGTATGCAGTTTACACGTCGTTGATTACCCAACAGCAATATTACGATACTATAGCTGCAGTTGTCAGTTATCACTGATCACAAACACAATTACACAAACCCTGTAATATGGTGTATTTGAAGAATTTTTTTAATACAACTTTTAATACGGAGGGCTTCCACTTTACACCCAACATTAACGTCTTGAATTTTAAATTTTCTTACTATAAATTCAAATATAAATTATTAAAAATAAGCAAAGCCCACTCTCAAGAGGGAGAATGCTTGAAGCGGGCGATCCACACTGAATAAACCGCACTTGAAACACATTCACTTTCATAAAATATAATACGATATAATATATCGTATAATATAGGTACTGCATAAAATATATTAAATACACAATTTCATATTTTGAAAACCATGTGAATCTTTTATTATAATATTATATAGTGATAATAAAGGAAATTTAATATTTGTCCATAACTTTGACAGTAACTCGAAAAGTGCACACGTCATTCTAACTATATTATACTATTATAGTTTCAGAAAATGATACTTTGAAAAGTGACATTTAATTCAAAAGTTAAACATTAACTTGGCTTATTTACACGTTTTTGCATTTTTGTCGACAAATATTTTGCAATAAAAAATAAATGAAATGTAGCGGTTGCTTCTCATTTTTATGGGTTGTTTATAACCTTAATTCTGCAGGGTCTTATTAATTTGCATATTTGTAATGGAAATGTCCAGTCTGTAAAATGATATGTATTATTTAGTTTGATTATACAAACATAAACTTTCATTTTTATTATTCCAAAATAATGTACTGCAATAAATATTTTACAATAAATATTAGACACTGAATATTTCTCAACACATACTATTGGTCTTTACTTAGTGTTGGTGCCCACACCTAGCAACGGAAATTCTACCGATTTTCTTATGGAGCACAAGATGCGTCAGGACCACCGGTTGTACGACGCAAAGTACGCACAACACAAGTATGGAGCGTCCATGAACTGCAGCCCGCTAGTATTGCCGTAAGTAAAATTGTAAAAGTATTCATATATTTTATAGGAACTATCCATTGGTGTACGCAGGAGGGAGGTTCTAGAGTTATAATACTCTATTAGTCTAACACTATCTTCGGGGGTTAGATTTCAGCCAATTTACGTTATATTTAATACATATAGGAAGATACAAACATAATTATAATATTATATAGGGCTCGGAAGTTATATTAGCTAAAATTGACAAAAAAATAAATATACACAAAAAGCCTTAAATATGCAAAAATATAGGAATAAAAATTTTATTATACGAAACTGTCATCCAAAATTCTAAAAAAATTATTATTATTTACCTATTAACATTGTGGTATTGAATACCTACTAGCTCTTACTGTAATAAAAAAATTGATTTATTAAAAAAATAAAAAATGAAAAAGAAATATCTGATGTGTGGAAAACTGGTTGCCGGTTGGTACCTAAAAAGTATTAATAAAATATATTGTCTTTGTTTTTTTGTTTTAAGTTTTATACTACAATACTTTAGTCATAAAATATAAATATAAATTTCATTAAAAAAACATTAAATGCCTACCTATGCATCTTTGCACAAAAATGAATAAATATGCACCTAAAATTTTCGATTTTTATGCTCATTATTTTAAATAATTGATGACTAGCTTGGTTTGCTATAAATCGAGAACATAATATTATGAGAATAATGCTACTCCTACAACAGACTCCGAGCCCTAATTATACATTTTAAATCAAATATAAACAAATATGAAATAAAGATAACGATTGCTGGTATTCATCTACCTATGTAATATGATTTCAACAATTTCTCAATGACAATAATAATATTAATGAAAGGTTTTGCTATTACCTTAGATTATGTACCATAATATACCGTATATATATTATATGCTCAAGAGTACATATGGGTTAAAGTGGGAAAAAAATTCCAATGAGGACTAATGTCTACATATAGTTTTAAGCGTTCCATATATAATCGTATGTATAAAATCCTAATTTGTTAAAGGGGACGCTTTTTAACTGTGGTCAGAGGTAGGGGGACTGAGTCCTCCTGCGCCCCCCCCCCAATTTATCCCCTGCATATTATATACAATGACTAAAGGAAAGTTATTAAATATATTTTAAATTTTTCTCTTATACAATAATTATCATACAATGTTCTTTTTGTTTGTATAAACATTTTGCTGATTTTAAAACATGTTCTGAAAAATGATGATCCAATTGAATTCATATGGGTATATAATACATAGGTAAAAGTAGACGGATCCTGTACTGGTAGTTTTGTGATTAACCTTTGATAATAACACTCTTCTAACTAAAATTCTTCTATTGGTAGAGCGTATAATATAGTCAATTATAAATCAAGTTTAAATTGTATCATAATATATCGAACATCGTCATGTTTATGCGTAATTACAGCATGGTCAAAGGATTCCGGCGGATCGTTTACTCGGTGTACCAATACCCGGAGCTGTTAGACTCGAGCAACATGTGCATGCGCGATTGGCGAAGTATAGCTGAAGACATATGGGTAAGTTTATATTATGATATATATATATGAGACATATCATTATTAATTGGTTTTAAGAACTAGGTCTCACGGTTTATGGGTTTATGGGTAAAACTTGAGTGTGAATACTAAATAGTGACTCGTGAGAAAGTATGTTTTTCCGTTCATTTTTTTGATTCAATACACCGCCGTCGATCAAGTGCAGTAGATTCAGATCCCAGCAGGGGATTTGTTCTCGGAGAAATCGAAAACAGATGTTCGGTCGACCAATCTCGACCTTTTTGAGCAACCGTTTTCATCTGACTATTATGCACATAATATAGTACAATAAATTATAAACTATGTGCACGATTTCCAAACGTGTTCTACCCGAGCCTTGTTATATTTTGAATGAAACGTGTTGCATGTGTGGTCTGCTGTTGGGTTCGTCAACTCCGGTATCCATTGTAGTCTCATCAACTTTCCTCATAAGGCAGGCATTGTCCTAATAATATGGATTACATATAGTAGAATACCCAAATCGGACAAATTTACAAAAAGTTCATTCAGCTTGACGAATAAATTAAATTAAATAAATTATATGATATTCTTTAGACTACTATACCGCCGGTATGAATAAACTAATATATAATTTAGTATTCAGGACTTTTTTAACTGTGGCCCGAGGGTAGCTATTAATATCAATGCATTTCGATGCTGACATTCTCATACCTAGTCCCGTCATATAATAATCGAAAGTAATATTTTTTGATCTTGATGATTATCTCTCCTCGCTGCTAGCATAGGTTAGAATCAAATTTTGTTTGAAAGGGGGGAAGCGCCACTCTATAAATTCATTTAAGTATATGTATGTGGTCCATGTCTACATCCAGCTTCTCAAGGTCTTCTATAATGCCTTATTTACAAAACTTAATCGTAGTACAACATGTCTTCATGGTATAATCGTTTAAATAATTGTAAATTAGAAGTAAATTATAAATAAGTAGGAATAAACAAACTAGTAAATTGTAGAAACCAATAAAATGTATTAAAATTAATAATTAAGAATAAAACTTTTGGTATTATTGTAAAAAATTAACGATTGGGTTTAAACTTCAAAAAATTATAATGCCTAATCAATCATCAGACACCAAACATCTTACTTTTCAGGGAGATAGGGAAAAGTTATCATGACATTAGACATGTTTAACACTATTATCTGTATGTTTTAACACTCAACAAAGTGGTGTGTTTCCGGGGGGGGATCAAGGGAATATACCCCCCACATAGGCTGTATATAATATGAAAAAGTTTTCAGAGTCCTAACTTAAGGCTTCTAACTTTGAAGGTGGGGGTTACTGTAAAATCTTTTCCCCACCCCATGACATAAAATTAAATATACCACTGAGTCTTAACACATAATATACTTTCGATCTATTCCGAGAACAGAGACTTCATCCCCGTATGAGAAATGTATAATGACGATGAAATTCATTTTTATTACAATGTTATTGTTATTATTATTATACTGACAATTTAATGTATTTCAGCAAGCGTACGAACTATACGATGGATTCGTCGTGTTGCACGGCACCGATACGTTGGCGTACACTGCATCCGCATTGTCGTTCATGTTCGAGAACCTCGGCAAGACCATCATCATTACGGGGGCTCAGGTAATAAATTATTATTATTATTATATAATTCTGAAAATGGTATGAACTATGTTGATAGTCATTAACTCATATGTCCCTATAGTTTTATTCGCTAACCACTGTAGCTTCACCAACTTCGGACGCGTAACTATAGATTATTCACATCGATTTTTTATTTATTCACTGGTAAAAACCCCATGATCTGTGAGCGACTTAGAGAAATCTCATACGTTATATGTATATGGATAAAATAAATGTTTATATAGTTTCGAACAAAATATTTAAAATGCTAGGGGTACTCAAAAAGATAATATATTAATATATAATATTATGGACTTACGTGACACATAATATATTATATTACACACACATGGCCGTTGAATGGTAGTTTATAAGACATAAATAGCAACACGTGTTTATTCCGAATCTGTACACATGTTGTAATAAGTTATCGTCCCTGTTGTTGCTGTCATTTTCGGTCACACGGATAAATCGTAGATATCGTTAAATTACCACAGATCATTTCCTCTGCAGTAGATACAATGCAACGAGAAATTTCAAAAACTTTTAAAATTTAATAGTACCTACAGTTTATTTAAACAGGATTCATTAGAATAAAATATAATATAGCGTGATCAATACATTTGGCGCAGCTAGTGGATCTATATGGGGTACAGTTCTCCAAATTATAAATTTAGCCGAAATCCCCAATTATTTGAATAAAACATGGGGTTTTTTACAGTTTATTATTGCATTCCTCGCATGAATTTTTTGGATGAATTAGGACTCCACAGAATTCTGAATTTTAGAGAATCTGATCCCACAAATATACTTAACCAATATTTGCGTGCCTGTAAAAGGGATATCGTATGTTGTGATGTCATTTCCTGACCTATGGATGGTTTATTGACTTATTGTATTTATATAGTTGCCAGTGTTTGACTTGCGAAGCGACGGAAGCGACAACTTCGTCACCAGTTTGCTGATGGCCGGTAACTATTGCATCCCCGAGGTAACGATTCTGTTCCATAACAAACTTTTACGTGGCAACCGTACTGTCAAGGTGGACTGCGAGAGCTTCGCTGCGTTCGACTCACCTAACTTGGCGCCGCTGGCCGTCATCGGGATCGACATCAATGGTATAAGTTTAAAATATCTGAAATATATATATAATATTAGTAACCCCCATGTTCCCGCTTACCACCATGGTGTTTACGGTTAGTGATCTTGAGCATTATTAAGTCAGTTGTATTTTTTTAACGCATAAGTATTAAGAGGACATTAAACCCATCTTACAAACCTAAAACTTTGCATATTTAAGTTCAGCATAACCAATTGAGTATTGTAAAAATTATCTACCTATTATACATTTTGTAGGCAAGAAAATTAACTAGTGCATCTAATAGGCTTTTATTGCTAATCTCATTTTAAAGCGACTTCTAAGTTAGTTATATATTACCTAGGTATGTAATATAATATAAGATGCTCATAACCCGCTTTTTAATTTAAATAACAGTTAAATCCTAAATGAGGTACTCTAGTTAATATTTTTATCTTTGCGTTTGTTGATACTATCGCAATTACTTTTTGTAAAATTTTAGTAGTACAGATACTTGAAATCGTATAAAAACATTTTTGTTTTTCAAAAACACAACAATTGTTTGAGATAATGAATTTCGTGCTTTACTCAAATGAACCCCACGTGGGCGGAGTTAGTCATCTGGTCAAGATGTGCAACAAACTATTTCCGACCCATGCATCGTATTGCCTCTTCACTTGACCACTCGTATTCAAATAATGATTACTTCAAAGTTTAAGGAATACAAAGTTATTTCAGAGCTTCTCTGTAAAAATATATGAATTGACTTCAGCAAAAACAGATTATTATTTTGCAATGAATTAATACAATATTATACTATTATACACTCACACAATGTTAAATTTCCCTTTGGGTTGGAAACCCAATCACATAAAATGGAGCATCCCTTATGCAGGCTACTCCCATGACTGTCGACTGTACACAGTGCGTGTCAGCCGCAAATACCAAAACAATTAAAATCTGTTGAATCTATCGCTAATCTGTATTTTTATACTTAAACGGTATGTTTCATGATCCATCGTTAATCGTTATTATTGCAATATCATCGCTGTTCGTGTGTTGGTACTGCAGTGTCGTTTAGACAAATCTTCAGGCCGAGGTCCATCGAGAAGTTCACAGTCCACCTACAGCTCGACGAGAACGTCAGTTTGCTGCGCATTTTCCCCAACATTACAGCCGACACGGTAGACAATAGTTATAGTTTATGAAATATATTATTACGATATTATCGTCCTCGTCATGCAAAAAGTGGCCATAAAAGTGCCAAAAATTCGATATTATATTATATACATTGGTTTTATGGTAAACCTAGTTAAAGCGTTAAAACGGTTTAGAAGATATGCATGTTCAATAAAAAAGTATAAATAACCAAGACGTATTAATATTTACATAATATTAATTAATATATTTAATTTACACTTGGTCCAATTCTTGGCCACTTTTTGCGGTGCGATGAAGCATATTTTATCGTATTATATGGACTTCAATTCAATGACTTTGTGGAGACGTCTTTTGCGAAGCCCCCCAGACGGCGGTGCTACTTTAGACAGTATAATATTATTATGTTATATACTAATGCGATATCGGGTGTGGGTTGAAACAGGTCCGTACGTTCCTGCAGCCACCCATCAGAGGTGTAGTGCTCCAAACTTATGGAGCTGGAAACTTGCCCGGCAACCGCGCCGACATCATGGCCGAGCTAAAGGCCGCCACTGATCGGGGCGTCATCGTGTTCAACTGCAGTCAGTGCTTCAAGGGATCGGTAACGGCCGTATACCAAACTGGGCATGTACGTTCATATATTGTTTGTTTATTTTAATATTTAGTAGGGAGGCACCCATTACATTGCAATAGTGGATTAGCTGATTAGAATGGATTAATCTAACTGTTGCATACATAAACAAATTTGAAACAGCAACTGATCACTGTCTCTGTTTATTTTGTATATACATACAAACAGGTGCTGAACCAAGTTGGTGTCATATCGGGCAACGACATTACTCCCGAAGCGGCCCTAGCCAAACTCTCGTACGTGCTATCCAAGGATGACTGGGACCTGAGCACCAAACGAATGGTGAGTACACACAAACGCTCGTACTTATTCGTATTCCTATGTCTATACTTATCTATAAAGAGGTAAAATGTATATGTATAGAGAAATCTTTATAACTACTGAACTGATTCTAAAAATCATTCCTCTATTATAGAAAACTACATTGAAAAACAAATTTGTATAGACTAGCTGACCCACCGGATTCATGTGTTGTTATAGAGTTTTTTTTAAATGAAATTTAACTTATTGACTGCTATTTAAATGTAAAGCAAAAGCAATGTCCTTGTTTGTAGCTTTATTCACTCAGAAAATACTCTACCGATTTCGAACATAGTGTCAGTTATTGTTCTTAGAGTTATCAGAAAAGTTTAGAGAGTAGTGTGATTGCCCATATAGGGCAAATAAGTTCACAGAGACAAGTACCCCGATACATAGTGCCGTATTTTATGTTTGTTAGTTTTTTCCTGGGCAAAGTCAGATTTTACGCAGCTTATATAATTATTAATTACCATTGCGATAATACCGTAAACTTATATAGATGCTTGGAGCAAATCTGAGGGGTGAGATGAGCGGTGGACCGCCAAAACCAGCAAGGAAGAATCGTGCCGCGGATGAGTGGGATTTAGTGGACGCAGTGGCCCGCACCCTATTGCACGTCAACGGATCTCAAGAATTAACTGCCCTCGGGGGCGTTCTGTTTCCCGCAATGCTGGGAAACGCTGTCGCTCGTTCTGACTTGAACAAACTGGACGAGCTCAAAGGCTTTGTGAGTATATTATATAATATACATCGTAGGTATACACTCGGAAACTGATCTTATTCCTCAAACGCAGTGATATTTATATAACAGCACCAATATTATTGTAATGTGTAATATAAAGAGTGAAACACCATGTTTTCTTTTCTCCTAATTAAATGAACACGTCATCAAAACCGAAAAATCATAGTAATCTACCCTGTTTATTGACTGCGATTTCACCAACCCCTCCACCATATAGATTATCTATATGTGTCTATCCGTGTTAGGTATGTAGGTATACACAGTGAGCCATACGTCAGACTGCAAGCTGGTCGTGACTTCGTGAGAGTGAAAACATCAGAAAAACGGAAAAACCTAATCGAGTCTCACAGCCGCTGCTAACCACAAGCTTATCTTTTTGGAACAATCTTTTTGTACCACGTAAGGTGTATCGATTTTAAGATGTTTCATTGTACGTTTTTCAGGGAGCTGATTTTTCCGCACAAAACGCTGATGGCCGTACAGCCTTACACTTAGCGTGCGCCTTGGGAGACGTCCGCATCGTCCGGTACCTCTTATTGAATGGAGCCAGCGTGCACATCAAAGACAAGTAAGTAAATTAAACGTGTACATCATAAAAAAATAATAATAATAGAAAATTCTATTGCTGTATTGTAATTTGAAAACAATCACATATTTAGTACCTACATTGTACAAATATATATTGTGCCCCTCCCTTATATAACCACTGAACCACCCTCTACCCTCCACCATATCAATTATATATTTCTAATGATATACCACTGGGGCACGATTGTGACGAAGTAATAATATAGTATAGCTGATATTATATTATATATTATTATAATTTTTACCAATATTTTTCGTTGTACTCGTGTTTTAGATTCGACAGGACGCCACTGATTGACGCTGTCGAAAACGACCGAAATGACGTTGTTGCGCTATTGCGAAGGTGCGGTGCCCATCTCAACTCACCCGCCAAGCATGTCGGGCAACAGCTGTGCAAGTGAGTGGTCGTCGAAGAATATTTGCGTAATTACGTCTATGGCATTAATAAGTGACCACGATTTTTGACCAATATTTACGCCAAGTTCCATAAGCATAATTTATTTAATGGTTCACTAAAATAGGCTACAATGGACTAATCGTGGGCCACTGGATACTGTATAATATTATAACTGCTAGCTATTGATTCATTAAATGTTCAGTGATTGTTTGTGCTGATCTATCTGCGATTGTATAAAATATATGAGCTGATTTTAAATGATAATGCAGCTTTTAATTTTATCTTAAAAAAATAGATATTTGTTTACATAAAAATTCCGGTCTTACGACAAGGATTTTATAAATCTGCCCTAATAGGATTTTAAAAGATCTTACCATAGTTTTTCCGATGCCATGTGGATGTGTGTATACTATTGTACCATGTGACTTCTGATTTTTTATTAATTTCGTTGATTTCGACAGTGCCGCGGCCAAGGGAAACTTGCAGAGGCTGCGATCTTACGCGGCCGCCGGAGCTGACCCATATTCGGCCAATGACATGTACGGTAGAACACCATTGCACGCAGTAAGTATTATATTATTATCGTCAGCAATAAACTATTAATATTTATTGTGTTTATTTACATTTTATCGTAGTCGTTTTCGTTTTCGATATTATCAAAACCGTGTTTTTTCCTATTTAAATATATAATATTAAAGTGTATAATTTAAATGGAGATTAGAATAATAATTATTTATATTTCCTGTCTATCTATATTGTTCTCGGCTTTTTTAAAAGGGGGGAGGGTGATATAGAGGGGAGGGGAGGGTAACTATTCTCAGACTACTTTCACTGCTTTCCCAACAATTTTTCTTTATACAAAAAATTTGTAATATTTGTAGCAATTATTAGCACGTATAATTAGCAAAAATGTACATGACAAATTTCACCATTTACATACATTTGGATAGGCCTAACTCAAAGTTTAGTAATGAAGGGGTTAGCACTTCGCGACATTTGGTCTTCAACTTCGCCAGTGGGAATTCCAAATTCATTTTTTTGAAATTTACCCAACGCTAATAAATTTAGCACGCAATTACTCATTAGCATGTATTTTACACAAATAACCCCGAAACTCCAACGTTACCTGTTGGGTTAACGAAACATTTGTCCAAATTTGCACATGCCCCCCCCCCAACCCAAAATATTTGGATTTCCGAAATTCTTCCTCTATGTTGGATAAATTGCAAAAAAATGAAATTGTGATACAAATGTGTGAAAAAATGTTCACAAATTACGTGGTAATAATAACACATATTTTGTAGTTGTCTAAAATAATGTTTTCCAAACAAACCTGGCAGGATGAGTAGGGTCTAATAATAGTGGGTCAAGTCTGTAACAATTGTGTTGGGAAACACTGGACTTTATAACCGATATAATATTATACTATTTCCGCACAGGCCGCGCTCACCAACCAAACGGAAGTGGTCGAGTACTTGCTGTCCCTGCACGCCGCCGTCTTTGCGCTCGGACACGTGGACGCCGGGCCACCTGCCGACCTGTTGGGCGTCACTCCGGTGGACGTTGCCCGGGCGGCTGGTCACGCGGTCCTCGCCGAAAAACTTCAGCAGCACTTCCAAAACCCCAAAGGACGCGAAAAAAACCAGTCGCCACAGCTGAATGGTGACGGAGTGCAGCACAAGGAGAAGGCGTAGCCCCACCCCTAAATTATAATACCTAACACGGGACTGCTGCATCGATGTAATTCACCTGTACGATTATTATTGTTTTTATTATGATTATTATTATTATTACTCCTACCACTATATTATTATTATTATTATTTTGTAAAATTACGTCGTAAAACAAAGCGTTACAGCGAGCGTTATATTATAGTGTTTTATTATAAAATATTATATTATTATTTCTGGCATCGCATAATGGCGCCCGCAGAGGTTTCGACCCAAAATTAGGTCTCGGGCGATGAGCTTTTTTTTTTAGCCATCTCGTCCCGTTTGCTCACTCACTCTCACTCTCTCTTTCGTATTCTACGACCTTATTTTACTCTCATATTTCCCGGACCTCCGCGTCGACGTTTGTACCGATGTAACTAATAATCACCGATGTAATGTAACAACAAGTCTGTCTTTAATACTATTATAATAATATAATGTAAATTAAACGATTTTTTTTTTTAATAAAAAATGATTTGTTTATATTCTAACCTACTCGTTGTTTGTTTTGTTTTTTTTTTTTTAATTGCTAGCAACACAAGTTAAAATACATAATGTCTCTTGGGTGGGTGGGAGGCCCTAAAGTCCCATCTTTGTTTGTAAAATATACATATATAAAACTATAATATACTCTTCGATAATCAAGCTATAAATTATAGAATATATTTTCTACAGTAAATGAGACCAGCTCTACAAATCTTGAGGATGTGTATCAATAAAATACAATTTTTGTTTTCAACTTTGTGTCAATAGTAGCATGGCGCACGAATGCGTGATTATTTTATTATCGTTATATTTTACAAGAAAAATAATTATTTACAAATTGAATGATGATTACTGATGATTAATACAAATAAAAATTTGTTTTACCAGCAAAGATTTATGTTTTTACATACAGTTTCCACTTTCCACACGTATTAATATTCACTCTTTTTACTCAGTCGCTTGTTTTATTTGCTTCAAGAATCTTTTATATGAAACAGTTCAACTAGGTACCTATATAAAAACCCTAATTATTGATTGTGGACTGAGCCATAAGAGTCTGAGGCCTAACATATCCGTGGATATACCTCAAAAGGATGATAGGCAGATCCACAAGACCATATAAATTATAAGTGAATGATATTCACATTTTTTGTCATTTTTTTTTCACATTGCACACGCTTTGGCGTAGGTAGGTAGGTAGGTACTACATTTTTACATTTATTACGCAGGCGACGGCGAGTAAAAGTTATAAAATACTTATAAATAATATTGTTAATATTAATTATTATAGGTATGTTTGCGAATTGTAAATTTTCTTTTATATATTATCGGTCATTTATCTTTATGTTTTAACTATCATACCAGTATAATATATTATTATATTATGTAAATTAAAAACTGGATATTTATTGTACAGCCGCGTGTTTAAACAGCTATAAATATGGATTTTCAGACTAATATATTATAATATACATTTTCGCCTATAATACGTACTTATATTATGACTTGGACACGAGTGATAATATAATATTGTGCATATGTTGTACGTAGTACACTTATGTTGTGTTATGTAGATTATATAATATATAAGTAACTACGTCATTCTCTCCACATTGCATTCTCACGCAAGGTGCGATGTATAATTACTATGTACTTCGATCGTCATTATAGGTACTTAGGTTAAGCATAGGTAAACTCGAGATGTCGAGCTTAATCGATATATACAGGCAGATCCATTTGACGTAATCCTCGCTTCTTATAACGATGAGTGTCTTATACATTAAATGGATCACTCCGTATACATAATGTACATTGTTTACACTCAAAGACAAGACGTCCCTATACATACATACTAGTTTATACAGGTATATTATGTATACACAAAAGTATATAGGCAATTACGATAATAATAAATCAATTATATATTACTATTATAGACTTCTATATTATAGGTAGGTACTATTGTAGATAGCGTTTTATCATTGTATAATATTTCGGTTGACTTCTCGAACAAATGGTCCGATTAATCGTATAATAGTAGTGACCTGCAAACAGTATTATAGATGCTTCCCATTATATTATATTAATGGTAAAGCCTAATAAATCACAATATAATATTATGTCAATCCGGTTTTAACGATAAGTACCTACCGCAGCTACCCATAAATTCATATGACGAACACTGCGAAATCACCCGTGATAAACATAAATGTAATAAATATTATCATATAGGTACGCTTTCAATCGCATACTCGATTTATCAATATAGGTACAAAGAGTGAGTCTACGTCATTTTTAAAATTTAATGGCAAAAATAGATAAAAAAAAAATCCAATTTTAAATAATATTATTATATTATACCACCGCCGATTATGCAGACCCGACTCGCGGGTGGGTTACGAAGTTATGGCTTGTAAAAATATTATAACGAGTTTGTTGTTATAATATAGTGCAGCAGACTCGACCTTCTATTTCTTAATTATTACTTACCGGTATTGCCGGTTTGGTACGAGCATCGACGATAATATTTGGAATCAAATTAATATTTTAATTATATAATGACATGCAAACAAATAAATTGTTCTAAAATACAATATTGTGGTAACTGGTAAAAATCATACCTATAGCTAATATAGCTGGTAACTCTAGGTACATTGTACCGAGGGTTGTCATATCAGTTTTTCAATGGGAAGGCAAATATATTTTATTTTGGCCCATACTAGAAGTAGTGCTGATCAAAACTCGACTGGTTAAGAGCAGGACCCAGGTAGAAATGTTTCCGGTAGCAATGCATATACCATGACTATTAATCAGAACAATTAAGACTTCGTAGTTTATAACATTAATGATTTAAAGTTCAGTGTGATTTTGGCTACATTCGAATTGCATCCCAAGTATGAGAATTTAAATAAGTGACAATTGAGCTGCACTTTTCATTGTTTTTCAATGCTAGTTACGTAATGCTCGTAGCATATGGTTATAGTGATACGCTATAGGTATAAATACCCGACGGATAGGTAAATGTTTTGGGTATTTACTGGGTATATACCCAAAAGTTTTTTACTTACCCAAAATTTGAATAAATATTTTTTTTTTATATTCTTATTAATATTATTTATGCTCATGTTTTATTTTCATAATTATTCATAATATTATTTATAATAACGACCACATATTGGTAGCACTATAAATTTTATTTTTTGTTTCATTGTTTGATCAATTAGATATATGGTTTGATAACAAATCATAAATTAAGGCAATTAAGTATATTAATGTAATTTATTCATTAGTATATAACTTTTTTGATAAAGAAACTGTGAGTTGTGACTCAAAGGCGTGGGTCAAAATAAAAATAATGCATGGAAACATTACCATCATGGTGACAACAAAAGTGTATTTTGCGATTATTGAAATAGATATTATATGGTTGCAAATGTTTGAAAGTTTGAAAGTTTTTGAAGTCCTTAGAAATATTGAAATTTCTATAACTTTTCGATGCACTCCAGAATATCTAACATCTACAAGATAATTATCAAATTTTAAATTTGATAAATTTTGTCAAAATTTGAACTTTAAATGTTTATAAAAAAATAATGACTAAGGTTTTTTAATATTTTTCAAACGCCATTGTAACAATATAGTAGGAGCGTTGTATTACATTTATAAGCATTTTTAGCCAACAAATAAAATTATCATGACATTTATAGAAAAAAAATCTGAAATTGTTCGCAAACAGTTCAAAACAAATTAAAATATTTTGAATATGTTATGGTGTATAGAAAATACTAATATATTTGTATTATGGCCATTTATTTTAGAATTAAAGTTTTGAAAACTATTGAGAATTTTAAATTATGACCACCCGAATGCAACAATTAGATTCACTTTCCCATCAAACATGATACTGTTGAAGAAAATCGAAGCAGTTTTACCTCCCAAAACGGTGATGAGACACAAAAAAAATAATAAATAAATTGAAAAAAACACACAGACTATATATTATGAACTGCATCCCGATTACATATTTATACAATTTTACTTTCCTCAATCCACAGTCGATATGAGTACCTATATGACTCCAATGTCTATCACTGTTTGATAAACACTTTGCAACTTATGAAATACACGTGTTTAGATTGTGTCTTCGTGCGCTGTTTAATGTTTTGTTTAGAATAAACCATAATATTATTATTATTATGAGCGTAATAAATTGTGAGTGACGTAATGAGTAGGTAGTGAATAAAATAAAACACGAATTCGTATAAATGCCAAATACATTTCGTTTTTATAAATCGTTCAAAAATGATACAGCACGCGCTTACTGTTGGACGCGTTTCAATAAAAACACGAAAGTCATACATACAATTATAATTAAATATTAGAACCTGCATATAACCAGTGAACACAACCATGCAATAATACTAAAATAGTGATACCTAGGTCAGGTTGAATTTTCAAATGGCATTCATCTAAAACGTAAGGCAGTAGACGAACCCTGTGACGAACCATCAAGAGGGAATTTTTAATTGAAGAATCAATGATGACCAAAAGTGCAAAAAATACCTATGTATCGGACTTTTGTTGAAGGAAGATATCCAAAGTAATCAAAGGCGAAAAGTTTCTTTTAGTTGATGACTTAGAAAATAATTTATTACCTAGCTTTTTCAACAAATAGTAATTTAAAGTTACCAAGTCAAATCGACACAATACCTATTCTTGTCGATGAAACTTTAAAAAGTTGTCCTAAACAGTGCCACTAATATTATTTATATTTATTTTCTATGTATTTATTCATATATTCACTTCACAATTGGTATATTATCGAATGGCAATTTCTTAATATTATATTCTTTCCAATAACGCAATAAAGTGTTCTATTTATTGAATGACATAATTTGAAATCTAACGAGATGTTTAATTTTACTCATCCAAAATCTAAATATCTACAGATCACATACGTAAGTACTTAAAAATATACAAAACGATACGTACTTACA